ATTGCACAGTAATTGACATCAAATTAAATGGTTAATTACAAGCAGCTGGCTGTAGCACTTCCTGAAGAATCCCTTTTGTTCGTATTTATCATGTTGCCTCAATTACTGTTAGTCCAGAAAGGAGTGAGTGGCTTCAATCTCAGCAAAAATACAGAAAGTTAACACTGTTAATGACAAAAATAAAACTGCTTTAGAAAAAAAGAGGTCTGCACATTTGTATTGTTGACCAAAAATGTATAGCTTGGTGTGCAACCTAAAACCCACTGCTATCCTTTCTACAAGTTCACACATCCACACATTTTTAGTTGGGAATGTCTGTGATTGTTTAAACGACAGTAATGGTGTTATTCAGTGTGCATTAACGTGGTTTCATTTAGCCAAAAGCATTTCTCAACACTCCAGAAGTAAAAGGAGAGTACAAGAGTTTACAGAACATGGCCGATGGCACTGCAGATGCTTTATACAATATGTTTTATGACCGAGTGGTAGAAAGTTTACACTTGAACTCTGGTTAACTGCCTTTTAGGGCTCCAGAGTGTTTACATTGCTCCCTGAGCTGGCTGAAGAGACAGAAATGTTGGAGAAACTTAAGATCAATGCCATAAAGACAGAATGCATCGTTTCGTTGTAGTTATCCTATAAGGTTGAGGCAAACAGCAAATTTCCAGGCCTTTTGATTATTATCTCGAACTAACCATGTGTTTTAAATAAATCCAGTTAACAACAGAGTAATAAAAAGCAAAAAGCTGGGCTGGATGTGGCTCAAACCTTTTGTGTCCATCATCTCCGTTCCTTCGTACAAGTGTTTCTGAGAATGTTGCAGTGCAGATCACAGGTTGGAACTATTTGTACAATACAACATGAAATTTATTTTATTGAAGTTTTTATTGCCAGTGAGGAACTCCAAGGTCCTTCTACGTCTTCAGAGAAGGCCTAGGAACCTTTGAAATGTTACACTGACTTTATTTAATATTTATTTTATATAAAATCTGTTTTCTTTTTTCATTGTTAGTGACTGTAAAACAAAATGGCAGCATAAGTCTGATGTTGTTGCTGATGTATGAAAAGGGGGACGGCACTGCCTGTTCAGTGAGTACCTGGATTGTGAAACTGAAAATAAAGTGACGCACGAGGGCAGCCTCTCATCGATGTCATTGTGTTATGGATTGTTACATTATTTATTGACTAAATGCCTAGCTTGTATAGCTGCAGTTCACCACTGGTTTTTGCAAATGTAACTGTTACGTTTAAAGAAATAGAAGTACTCTGGAAAGGTCATTTGTCTGCCATTATGCCATGTATTGTATCCCAGTGTACTGTTTACATGTTGAAGCCATGTGTGTAGCATCATCATGTGTCATGTAGCATCATAAAAGTAACTATACTATACTATAGTATATAGTATACAATACTATATGTCAGGGCTATTCACCAAAACTGCTCAGGGGCCACAGTTTCTGAAAGCCAACAGCTCGGGGGCCAGACATCCAGTGATTAAAATCATTATCTAAATAATCCAATGAGTACAATGATCTGTTACCTTTTAAATGTGTTGCATTGAATCATAAATGCAATAAACAGAATCCAAAACCCAGACCCCCCCCCCCCTAATAAATAAATAAATAAATAAAAATTTTTTTTAATGAAGTGGGCTGAATTGAAGTCACCTGTGGGCTGGAAATGGCTCAAGGGCCGCCAGTTGAATAGCCCTGCCATATACTGTGGTATAATATACTATGCTATATTATGTAGTATAGTATTCTATATAGTCTATACTCAGTGGTGGAGGAAGTACTCAAACATTGTACTTAAGTAAAAGTACAAATGAACAGACAAAAATGTACTCTAGTAAAAGTAGAAGTACCCCATTAATGTTTTTACTTAAGTAAAAGTAAATAAGTACTTGCTTTTAAAAATACTTAAAGTATTAAAAGTAAAAGTACTTGCTGAATGTATTACCTAATGCAATGGTCTACACCATCTTTAAGTCTGCCTACCATATGTATATTTTGTGTAATACATTAATAGTGTTGAGCCATTTTAATGAACAATGCTGCAGATAATTCATGTTTTTATTGTGTTTACTCTGTGACACAGTTGGACTTGTGATTCTGTGCATCAGAATTTCAGGGATGGCATGCAGAGTTAAATGACATTAAGCAAAATAAGAAAGAGGAATGATTATACCTTTGAGCGTTTTTATTTAACACAAAGTAAAACCAATGTGTAATTTTAACTGCAGTAAACACATTTAAGTAAAAGTTGTCTGGATGAACAAAAGGAGCATTAGACACAACTGACAAAGGAACATCTGATCAGTTCAACTCCAGTTTGTCCTCAACACTAGTTAAAATACTGTCTATTCAACCTTGTACTGGGTCAATATTGAACAATATTTTAACTTCCTGACACCATTTTTAAAACTTGGACCCGAGTGTCGAGCCATTTGGAGACATCTCTCGTCTCCTAACATCCCATGAACTGACACATTTTAATATTGCAGCAAGAATTTCTTTTTGAAGTTCAGAAGAAGTTGATTTTCAAAGTTTTTTAAGTCCAATCTGGCTCTTTTGGGAGAGAGAATCTGTCCTGTTGTACTGAGCAGTCTTTCAATAATCTTTCAATAAGGTCATGGGTGGAACATATTGTCTGTCTGACTCTCTTGCGGTGGAATACATTTTGGGTGTGTTAGTGGTGCTGTGGGTGCACCCAGCTCAGTGACATATATATACTAGAATATGTCATTGGCCCAGCTCTTCTTGAAGGTGGGTTTAACGTTACCTGCCCACTTTGCAGTGATTCACTGGACCAGCTCCTCTCTCACTGTTGGTTACTTTCAAAGTAACAAACAAATCAAAAAGCTGCAACATGAATGTAACTTGTAATGCAACGCGTTATAGAAATGTAGTGTAGTAGAAAGTACAGATACTTGATGTAAAATGTAGTGGAGTAAAAGAATAAAGTACCCACGTTTAACTCTACTTAAGTACAGATACATGAAAAAAAGCACTGAAGTATAGTAACAAAGTACTTGTACTTAGTTACATCCCACCACTGTCTATACTATAGAATATATTATTTTTTTATAAGTACTGGGTGGCATGGTGGCTCAGTTGATAGAGCGGTTGCTTCTCAGCAAGAAGGCCGCCAGTTAATATGGCCTGGGGCCTTTCTGGGTGGAGTTTGCATGTTCTCTCTGTCCATGCATGAGTTTTCTCCGGGTACTACGATCTCCTCTCACAGACTAAAAACATGCATGTTAGACTAACTGGTAACTCTAAATTGTCTCTAGGTGTGAGCGAGAGAGTGAATGGTTGTTTGTCTCGTTTGTCTCTATGTGTCCCTGTGATGGACTGGAGACCAGTCCAGGGTGTCCCCTGCCTCTTGCACAGTGACTGTTGGATATGGGCACCAGTGACCCCCCGCGACCCTAAAAGGAAGAAGCGGTAAAACGCTAATGGATGGATGGAATATAAATACAATATAGTCATACTGTGTTTTTTTTTTTTTGCTGTAATTGTTCGACCAGTACATAACTGCACTTTAGATAGTTAAAAAGCTTTCAGTTGTTTAACTGGAAATAGTGTTTGTAGTAAATTATACTTTACAAAAAACTGTATTTCTTTTCCTTGTAATTCTGGAAATATTTATGACTTATGCACAGTATTTAGACATGGATAAACACCAAAATATATTTGTCATATATTTGAAACAAAACAGTAAAGCAGGTTTGTTGACTAATTGCTATCATTTAAGATTTTTTTTTTCCTATTATTGGTGTTTTTTGATGCTTCAGTTATCTGGTCCTCTGAACCCAGTAATTTTAGCAGTGTATTCAAGAGCGAGTGACATACCCTAAAAAGAAAAACATAATAAATGTAGTACTATGCTCTTTGAAGATCAGGATCTGCCAATGGAAAACACCAGGCTCCTTAGAGATTTTTATTCAGATATTTATGGTCAGCTGCCATGCTGGCAGTGACTTAAGACGCCTAAGATGGGTCACTAATTCCCCCTTCATTAGCAGAGACTGCGCTGTGATTGGTCATTCCTGTTTGTTTCTATTTAGTAAAATAAAACTTTGTATGGTTTTCATTTTGTATATCAACATAGCTTCTGACAAGCTAATGGCTAGCTTAGTTTAAGCCATTTTAATGGTTGTAAAAGACTGAAGGGAAAAAGTCTACAAAACAATTTGACAAATAAACTGATATATACAGAATGATGCCAAAAGGGTATATTTATAATCCTCTGGGGTCATTTCAGGTCTCTCTTGTACAAAGTAAATGAGTCCCCAAGGCTCAACGGGACTAACTTGTATAAATAAAGGTTGAATGAATTTAGCAGCTGATTAATTCCCATATTAAATTATTACTAGTAAATCTTTATTACCCTTCCAGAATAATAGGGGACTTTCTCTAAATGTGAACACACTCGATTTGTGGTAATGCCCGGAAACTCCTTTGTGTGCTCACACTGTAAGGTTGTGTCTGAAGAAAGCAACACAAACACCTCAGTTATTATACAAAGGCCAAGGTCAACAGACAAAGACTTCCTCACAATAGGAGAGTGCAACAAATGGGCAGGATAAAAATAAATGACTGAGACTTGCAAAGGTTTATACAGTCCTAATAAAATATCCTGCCATTTTATTTTGTCTAAAGAAAAACACTTAGAGCTTTTTGAAATGTTTTGGACAAGATTGGGAAATAATTTGAAGGTATAAGTTGAATTCCTGTGTGTCCCTTTCTAGTATGTTTTGTGTGTGTGTGTGTGTGTGTGGGGGGGGGGGGTATTTTGCCATTAAATCCTTCATGTTTGGATGTTAATGTTTACTGATTGTAGTTTCAGTTCATCTTTTGATTAAATCGTCAAAGAGGATACGTACATTGTTCTAAATCTTCAAGATAAAAGAGAACCATCATTGTGATTAATGATGAACACTCTGAGAGGTCTTTTTTAGTCAGCTATACTCTCTGTCAGCAATAATCCCTGTCTTTTCTTGGCAGGGGGACCACACGTGGGCGACCATGTTGGGCCAGAGCGTGCGGTTGCAACCAGTTCCTATCCAGAGCCTGTCGGAGTTGGAGAGAGCCAGGTTACAGGAAGTAGCCTTGTACCATCTAGAGGAGAGGGACCTGGACTTCAAGATCAGCATCCCCAAAGGTGAGAGACGGATACCACGGATGCGGATTGCTGTGGCTGCGTGGTTAGAGCTGTCGTCCTCCAATGTAAGAGTTGGGGGTTTGAGTCCAAGCAGTCACATGCCAAAATGTCCCTGGGCAAGACATTGAACCCCTCATTGCCTCCAATGCATGTCCCATTGGTGTATGAATGTGATAAAGCACTGATTAGTCTTTGTAAAGATCTAGTAAAGTGCAGTATGAATGGATAAATGATGGCACAGATTGTGTATAAAGAGCTTTGAGTACCTTGATAAGATAGAAAGGTGCTAGATAAGTACAGTTCATGTACCAATGGATACTGTTATTGGTGTTCTTGTGATTCTCTAGAACTTCTGTTTCTACACTAGAGTCTTTACCTAAAAAAGTTAAGTCTGGTCCTCTGGACATTCAAAAAACAAAACAAAGCAAAACAACAAAAAAA